TTCTACCGGTGCCTGGCCGCGCACGAACTGACCTGGCACGGCCGGCTGAAGGGGCGGGGTCGTCCTGAACTGACCCGACCAACCGACAACGCGGCTGGGTCGGGTTAGTGGCCTTTCAACGCAGGCGAGGTTACGGTCAATACACAGCAGACAGTAGGCAGAGTGGGTGAGCACCAGAGGGTCGCGGAAGGACCCGAGATCACGGTCTGGACACATGATCTGCAGCAAGCGTAAAAAATGTGGGTGGCAGCCCTTCACGTTTCGTGCTACCTTCACGGCTGCTTTCGAGATAAAATTTGCTTCCCAATCATAAATAAAGTGTAGCTGCAGATAATTCAGATGAGAAACTTGTCAGAGGTGCGCTGTGGTGTGTTAATCACCTTAACCACAGGCCAACGGACTAACACGTTTGCTATACCGTTTCCAATTATTTTATGGGGTAGCATTTATGGCTCCACAATGGTGTACTAGCACCATGCGTCAGCGGTTTACCCGGCTGCATAAAACCGCAGCAGCGCGGCTCATGGCATGACGAAACCAGCCGTATGTACCAACAGCCGACGTTAGTCACGGCCGCTCAGAGCTTGTCACGGCTGGCACGGACCGCGCCGTCCGCCCGCGGCGCCGGCCCATCTGGCCATCGGGCGTCCCCCTCCCTCCGAGGCGGCTGAGGCGTCTTCAGGCGCGACACTTACCCTGTTTACATGGGCAGCTGTGATTCGAATTGAGCCGGGACCCGTCCTCGATCCGAACTATCCGGCCCATGTATACACTCACGCGCCGTTCCGCTGATTCGAATCGTGCGCCGGAGGAAATCCCTTCCCGTGAGAGGATCATCCGTTCAGGAAGGGATTTCGTCCGAATTATCGGCCGTCAGCTGTCTAAACAAAAAAAAAGAAAAATGCCTGGCGCACGCAGTTCTGTTCATGGCCATTTCAGCTTCGTTCGGTGTTGCCGCTTTTCCACGGGTTTTTAGCTATTGCTCGAGACGGTCCAAGTCCAAGATGGTAAAGGAAAAGAGAAAGAAGGTGAAGTTGACACCATGCTGCTAAAACTACCCTTATTATTGAGGGCCTTGAATGGCTAGCAGCACAGAAATCCTCACGTAATTTAGCCTTGCTAGGCGCGTGATCTATGCAGACAGCAGGCGTCGGCGGTGCTTGGTGTTATCTTTCCGTCTAAAGGTTAGATTAATTTACATCTGGGGCAGGCTCCATGCTTCCAAAAGCCAAATGGAGGTAATATGGTCATTTTATATAGCTTTGACTTGTTCTCACTTTAATTTTTGGACTGCTCAAAATTCTTGCAGAGAATGCCTCCAAGTTTCTTTCATTAAGTTAATACCTAAAGGCCCCAGGAGTGCTTTTGCAGATGTTCCTTAAATTAGGATGCTGGTTGCTTGTCAGTTAAATTTGTGTGAGAAAGGTAGCTTAAAAATTGCTGCATGATATGACGGATGAACAAATATAGATCATTGCAGTCAGCTCGGAATGTGAACTTTTTTAATGGTAGGACCGAAATTGCCCAATGATGGGGTCAGAACAGCAAGAAAGCAAATGTGAACACTGGATGAAAATATTTGTCATCATTACTCTGCTAAATCCAAGTTTGTGTGTTCCATGTGCAGGAAAACAGTGCATAAACTAACACCTAACGTGATGGCACATGCTGCATGGAGAACACGTCTGTGTTGCATATCATCACCTGTTTTTGTACTGATGATTAAATATGTCACGTTGGTGCTTTTTTGTGATGGGTGTCTGCAGGCCATGAGGTAGGTACTTGAACTGTTCAACAATTCTTGCAGGGAGTACCAATAGTTTCTTGCATTAAGTGAATACATAAATGCCCCAGGATTGATTTTGCAGACATTCCTCCTGTGACTCGAACATTTGGTTGACCACCTATTGGCAGGAGGGATGTGCTGGATATTGGTGACTGGCTCGTCAAGGAAATATGAAGCTACATCACACTGGTAGACCAAATGGCGAGGAAGCGGGGGCTGGAATATTTGTTTTTGATGCGATTAGGCTGTTTGTTGCTTGTCGGTTTAGTGTGTGTGAGATAGGTAACTCAATAATTCCTGCATGATGCAAAGGATCAACAAATATAGGCAATAGATCATTGCAGTCAGAGCAGAATGTGAACTATTTTTAATGATGGGGCCAAAATTGCCCAGTGATGGTTCCAAAATGTCAAGAAAGCAAATGTGAGCACTGGATGAAAATAGCTGTCATCAGTACTCTGTCAAATCCAGGTTTGTGCATTTCATGTGGAAGAAAACAGTGCATAAACTAAGTAAACCTAACATAATACCACATGAGGTGCAGAGAACATCTGTGGTGCACATCAGTACCTGTTTTTGTACTGGTGAGTAAATATGTTACCTTGGTGCTTTTTTGTGACATGTATCTTTGCAAACCATGAGGTGGATAATTGAGCTGTTGTTATAATTAATCATTTGTTATGAATTTTGAGCCCAGATTGCGTTTGTCATGACAGCTCTGGGGCTGGTTCACATGTTATGATCTTTGGACTGTGCGAACACAGCTGTTTGTGCCACCTAGCCATCAGTCCATATCAGCCAATGCTGTTGACTGCAAGGATATCAAAGCAGTATTTCAACCCTAGTATGTCAAGAAAGCAAATAGCTGCATTCTGACCTGCCAGTCCATGCCAAGTCTAAATGGCAATGCTGCCCTCAGGTACTGATGATGCATTGGATGGGGAAAGACAACATAGTTACACAATTTTTGCCACTAACTATGTAGCATTCATGAGTCATTTCTGTAGCTTAGCTCACTGTTGCAGGCTGCTCATAAATGCATTAGTGTGGGAGTAGGTAATGTGTTTCTTGGGCTGCGCAAAGTAGATGACATGATGCTGGGTGGCATACTGATATGAGTGTGGTAAGTTTGTGAGTGTCGTTGGCCAGTACAAGAAAATACTGATTTCCTGCTAGCCAAAGTTTCCCGCTAGTAAAAATTTGCATATAACACAGCTTATGTGACAGATGTGGCAGTGCTGACTGCGCAACTCTTGTGTTTCAAGTGCTATGGCTTGTGCTGTAGCTATAAAGCCTAAGAGTCCCGCACAGATCATTTTTCCAACGGAGTCCATCTTCCTCCTCGCCCTCAAAGCTGTCTCGCGCCCACCATGGCTCGTGACATTCGCCATCCATACGCAGAGTACCGGCTTTTTTCTTCTTGTTTTGTTCAGTTCGCCTCAAAAGCGCAGTTTTCGCCCATAATCCGTTCCTTGATTCGAACTAAGCGGGATCGAACTATCGACCGTTAATCCGACGTAAAGCCGGTTTCGCCCATGTAAACGCCCCTCGCCGAGAGGGTTAACGTCGCATGATCCGTTCCGATCTTAATTCGAATTATCCTCGGCTGCCCATGTAAACCGGGTAACTACTGAGGCGTCACGCGCCGGTAGACCCGAGAGCGACAGCTGACGGCCCGTGCCGCACCGGTGCCTACGCGGTACGGGTGGCGCGAGACGCCACACGCCGGCAAGCGGCAGCGGTGGGAAGCTGTGGTTCATTATGCTGCCAATAGATGGAACTACGGGATGCCTAACCGTTTTTCATTGAAGCTTCGTGGCCCATTCACTCATTGGGACCGCTCCTTCGAGCCGATAACTTTGGCATCCATCATGTATCATGCTCATCCACAATAGCACACTGCCTTACAGGCATACACAGCCCATACACCTGTACGGAAGCCGGCGTTGTATATTGAACGCATGGTGAAACGACAGAGCGGCCGTTTGCAGTTTGCAGTCGCCGTCACGTTAGCTCGTGGCACAGGCACGGAAACAGCACTCTCCTAACGCAGCAAGCCGGCCGCACCGCCTCCACGCGGTAAAAACATCACACAACCCACTGAAAGAAAACACCGACTCTCACACCACGCTCATCATACAACGCACCCCCAGCTATTTTCTAGCGGAAGAGTTAAATTTGCGTAGAATGACTAGCACTGACAATGAACATGCTATTAAGGCTAGTTACTACCAGCTGTCTGAGATAGCGATATCAGCCTCAGAAAGAACCAATGCGTAGAAACGTGCATGCAAAAGCCCTCAGAGTGAGCGAGAAAGAAAGAGTGCACACACAAGTTTATACCGATAATCCGGGGGGGGGGAGCATATACCCAAGGATCCCTCTTCCTCCTAACCAGGGAAGAGGGGGGGGGGATCATCCGGCAAAAACGCAAGCCTCGTTCAGTCTCAGACTAACCAGCGACAGGTTACCAAATGCGACGGTGAAGGCTGCCAAATCCCGTCAGTGTGAATGCGAGCCTCACACACCCGCAGCACAGCATCTCTCCCATTCTCAGTCATACTGCAGCGCACAATGCCACCAGACAGCTCGGTCTCCTCTCTCGCACTCGACCAGCGCCGGCACTCATGGTTCGGCGCGCGCGGTCGACTCGCTCGCGGTAGTTGTGCGCGTGCCGCGCCCAACATTCCTGACATGCCCCATCGCGAGATTACGCCGCTCTGGCGCGTCGCCTCGGTCAAAAGACGGGCGGACGCGCCCACAGTGATGACGTCACAGCGTCCACCAGTCCGGTTCTTCAGAGACGTCCGACCGGACCTCCAGCGGGGCCCGTCCGACAACCGACGCTGACAGCCACCACACGCCCTGATATCGGCAGTGGTCGCGACGCCTCGACCGGCTCCGCGCACCCCGCTCACAGACAAGGGAGCGGCACAGCGTCGCCGTCCAGTCCGGTCGGGACCCGGGGAACGGCAAAGCCGGGACTCCCCAGGCGCCGCACGGGTACCCGGCTCGCAGGTGGCGGAGCCCGCCTCTCGTTCGGCCACACCGGGACCGGCTGTCTGCGCCGCAGCGCCGCGGCAGCGAGTGCCGACGCGACGGTGCCCGGCGGCGCCCGCAGCAGGCTGGCGGCCGCCACACCGCCGCGCTGCCGTCAGTCTCCCGTCCGACCGCTCGGCGCTCGCCCGCCCGGCCACGCGGTGCTTCACCGGACACTGCGCCGCAGCGCGGCGGTAGAGTCGGGGCGCGGCAGCGTCACGGCGCTCGACCGCCGGCCTCCGCCGGGTCGAGCAGGAGCAGGGTCACACGGGCGTTCCCGTCCCCGGCGCGGCGCGAGACACCAGCACTGGGCGGCACCTGCGCGGGCAGCCGCCGACATCGCCGCTCACACCAGCAGCGCCGGCGCCGACTTCTTGCCGGGCCACATCTCCTTGGCGTACTTCTTCTTGCGCGGCTCGTGGGCGGCCGGGTTGTCCACGGGCCCGACCATGGTGGCGCCGGCGGCAGCAGCCACAGGCACCTGCGGCAGGGGCGCGGAGCGTCAGCCGCGGCCCGAAGACGGCCGTGGCGGTGCTGGCGTCGGACAAGCAGTGCGCACCACGACCGAACAGGAACCCAAAGCTCTTTGAGGACGGTAGAAGCCTTCACGTCGCAGCACGTGATTCCAGCCTTTAGCGGTCCTGGTACTGAATACAGACAGCATGTAGTCCGAAACTATGCACGGAACTGCGAAGACTGCTTAGTCATTTGTTACCTACAAACCCTGCCTGTAGGCAGAGGGCCCATGCTGTTGGACCCTGCAGTGCCAACCCCCCAAGTCCCCAGGCTCGTTTCGGTCCCCCGTCCCTAACGAGACCGATCTTTTGCAACTGCGCGCGCTCCAACGGCACGACCATGTGGCACAAGCCCAGTAACACTAGCTCCCCTCATCCCTGACCCGCTGCTGACCTCAGGCTCCACGCGCTCCTCGACCTCGGGAGCGGGGTTGACACCGATGCCGAGCTTGCTGCCGAGGCTGAAACTGAAAGTGGCGTGCGCCGCGGCCGGCGGCGACGTGGCGCCCTGCTCGGCCGGCGGCAGGTCGCCGTACAGCGAGGCGCCGCCGCCGCCGTCCGACAGACGGCGCTGGTGTCGCGCCGGAGCCGACGGCGCCGCCGCGCCGCCCTCCATGCGAGCCCGCTGCGGAAGGGACGGAGGTTAGGACACGGACAAGGAACACCGGCGACGACACGGACGCGTGACACTACAGTCGGCAAGCGCCAGAAGTGTAATAAATGGGCCGGCGAGCCATCATCACAGCACATAGATGACAAAAAACTGCACGGGCCTGGGCACAATTAGCGAAAACGCCACGCTTGAGGAAGCGACGAGTTAGGGGCTCTATGCCTTCCCAGCCTCTACATGTCTGCAAACGCTGATAATCAGTTACGCAATTGTTAAGAAGAACCCCGCGACGCTGGACGAGTCGAACAGCTGCGTTTCGAAATTATTAAGATGGACATATCTCAGTCGGCTGGACATTTCAGCGGCACTGCCGCCGCTAACTTGTGACCAGGAGCGGGTGTTTTGGCTAGGAAATGCATTCAGCAGAAACAATTCGCTCTCAGAGCTTACGATGAAACTTGAATTTCCACCGCAGTTCGGCAACAAAGTTTACTAACGTTGCCATCGGTCAATGGCGAGCGTTTTCCTGAAAAGCAGTACAAGACCAAGAAAGCGTCTCCGGGGACGAATGGTTTCGTCATCCACAATCTGAATGCAGTTATACCGCAATTATATCGATGAAATTATCAGCTACGTTTGCGCACACGCTCCAAAGACGGTTATGACACAAATATATGGATATATACGGACATAAAACGGACGCAGATATAAGCGTATAAATTCATCACACACACACACGCACGCATGCACGCACGCACACACACACCCACCCACACCCACACCCACACCCACACCCACACCCACCCACACCCACACCCACACCCACACCCACACCCGCGTATATATGCACAGCATATATGGCGTCCCATCCCCTTCAGCTACCCCTCTCCAGCTGCTCACCTTCACCGGTATGACGGTGGTGGAGACGAGGTTCCTGAAGCGGCCCACAGACGGGTCCACGTCCTCCGGGTTGATCACCTCCTCGTCCTCGTTGAAGGAGACGCTGCGCTTGTTGCGCCGGCGCATGGTCGGCTTGAAGTCGTCATCAGCGATGCCCAACATCGTCACGCGCCGGTTGTGCGCCGTGTTGAACTCGGTGAGGTTCTGACGGCGGCAGCGGCGGCGTCAGGCAGACGGCAGGTGTGGAGTCAGGCAGATGGCAGGAGCGAGGCCAAACAGATGGCAGGAGCGGGGCACGCAGACGACACGGGCGGAGTCAGGCAGAAAGCAGGGGCAGAGATGGATGGCAGGGACAATATGACGAACATGCCCAGGGAAGTCAGGTATAGAGCAGGAGCACAATCACGCAAGTGGCAGTGTGAGAGTTTGGCAGACGACATGGGAAGTCAGGGACAAATTTAATTACCCAAGGCAGCCCCAATGATTTTACAGAATTTGGGTATGGATGCAAAACTACCACATATTACAAGCCTGTTAAACTGCTTCCAGATTGACAGACCAATATCAACATTCATCTCATTGCATGACACAACTGCACCTCCATGTAATCCCGGCCCAATGGTGTATCGCGTCTCCCCACCACCCAACCCCAGCTAGAGCTATGCATCTCATGACTGAATGTCCAGCCCAGCATCCAACCCATCAGTTCAGCCGCGCCCAACCCCGTCTCGGTCCCGCCACTACGCTGAAGTACAGCCGCCACGTCGATCCGACTCACGCTCACAACACCACGGAATCGTCACTGAACTGGCGGTCAGCTTTGCCAGCACCGAGACGAAGTACGTCTCGGCCGAAACTCGCCACTAAACGACACCTGAGCTGTCTCCGTACCACCAATGAATCATGTCTAGATCGGGCTGCCTCCCAACTCATGACCAGATTTGCCTGTCCCGCAAGTTAACTCACGTCGTCCCGTTTTGACCATACCACTACATTCGTTTCCAGTTCTGTATGGATACCACCACCTATCCATCTCCATGTAAGCACAGCCACCATACCCTTACACCCAGCCCCGTATCCGTGCCACCACCAGTCCACGCGTCCAGCTCTCCCCACGCGAGCTGAACCCGACTCACGTCCAGTTCCGTGTCCGTCCCTTCAACAAACTCTGCTCGGTCTCGGTCCCGAGGCTGGAATCACGTCCAGCTCTGTCTCGGTCTCGCACGTCCACTCACATCCAGCTCTGTCTCGGTCTCGCACGTCCACTCACATCCAGATCTGTCACGGTCTCGCACGTCCACTCACGTCCAGCTCAGTCTCGGTCTCGGGCAGGCCGAGCAGCGCGCCGTCCGTCTCGTCTCCGGCCAGCTCCAGCTCCTCCATCACCGGCTTGCTGGCCTGCTGCGGTCGCTCGCGCAGCATGTACACGCGTGTCGACGCGCCGAAGTGGAACGCGGAGTCGATCGGAAGCTGCGTCGGCTTGTTGGACTCAATGCGCATCGAGCCGATGTAGGTGCCATGGGCTGGAGACGGCGCAGGGGTGTCAAACATGGGGAGGGTGAGAAAACACAACAAAGCAATAGATAGCAGAGAGGTAACATGTACAGTGTCTGGCACATCATAGGAGGATCACTGACATCAACAAGAAACAAATGATGGGTATCTGATAGATGTCCATGCAACCTCTGGGGTCCATGATGCTCATGGGCATGGAGCTGGCTTTGAAGCTGGCTTTGAAGCTGGCTTCAGCTTTGAACCTGCCTTTTGTGCCCATAGCTTCGAGTTTGGCCTTAAGCTTCCATGGCTGGCTTCAGCATCTGATGACTCTGTGTGATTTTAAATAACTGGTATTGACAAAAGCAGACATTGCAATGATTACTTGATAATATCATTGAGCATGGGCTCCCTGGTATATTGTAGACTGATATCTGATGATGACTTGGGCTTTGGGGCACACTGACTACAATGGTCATATGGCGCATAGATCAATACTTGTCAGTGTAAGAACACCCGACTCACACCACCCAAACATAGAAGCTAAAACCATTGTTTGCTTGCAGCAATTTTCTTCACTGCAGTTGCAGTTCCACTTCAAAAATAGTCCGGCCTTTCCTGTTACCTAAATATATCACACAACTATCCAAGTCTGCTATGCTCACATGGCTGAAGGTAAAACAAAAACAACACAAAAAAGCTGAACATCCTCAGGATGAACTATGAACAACCACCAAAATTTAACCTTGCACTATGGTGTCAGGGAATCTTAACAATCCCCATACAAATCATGCCAAGATTTGGTGGCAAAGCCCAGATATTAAACAGCAAGGGTAAATTGAGTCAGAAGGAACTCAGGACCTTGTTGCTTCCCTGCTCCTTTTCATAACTAAGGGACCATGCTTTAGTTTCTGGGACTTGGGGGTGGGGATGCTATTTTGATGCCTCAGGGGTCCACATTTATTTCTGAAAGTCCTGTATCCTGAATAACCCAAAGACACTGAAGTCCCTGCAAACTCCATGAAGGGAAGAGGAGCCATGGTCCAGAAGTCTAACCCCTTTGGCACATCACTGCCCCATTTTACTTCAGGAGATACTCACTGCTGCCTAGATCAACAAGAAAGGCACGATCTAGGTGCTTGTGCCAGACCATGGCAGCATGGACCCGTGAGCAGCTGGCATGGTCAATGCAGAAATCATTGAGCTGAGGGTTCCGGCCAAACAGGTAGCAGCGCTTCTCATCCACCATCAGCTTCTGGGCTAGCTTGTCTCCTTTCAGCACATCCAGGTGAAGACCAACTGGGGCCTTCCCAGCCCTGAAAAATCAGAAGGTTACTGGAAATATGCACCAACGGTTTCAAAGTGGCATCCTTCGTCACAAGAAACCTATTATATACATGTTCTATCATGTATTGGCTGTCCTTTCAGGTGACTGTGATACTGTGACCCTACAGGAGAGGGTCAGGGGACAGAGAGTGGAAGGGGAACACTCAAAGTTTCAGGTGATTAGAGTGCTGATGACAAGAAGAGACTGAATAAAGCTCTACATAATGCACAATTATCTTTGGGCCAATGCCTTTCTGACACATCAAGTCGACTAAAAGCCTCCGACATGGAACTTGGACGACGAGTAAATCAGTGAATCTATCCCCAGGCCCAGTCTCAAATGTAAAGAACAATTTTATTACCAGTTGGGCACATTGTAATGACTGGTCATTCCGTCCCGTAGAAGTCACAGAGGCTTAAGATAATGCCATCATTGACAAAAATGATTAAATGGCAATCTATGCCGCAGACTCCGGCGCCCCGCGCCACACAACAGCACCAATAATCAACGTTGTATGATGAGAGCCTTTGGCTATGCCGGAGCCTGGGTAATCTAATAGTGACGTCAGAAAACCAAAATATCGGCGACGAAGCGGTAGAAACTTTATGGTAAGTTTTAGTTAGCTCTTAAGATACAACTTGTACTAAAGGGCATCTGAAACAATTAAATTGATACTCTTAAAACATAATATTGTCCTACAACATCACAGACCAGGACAGCGGGATGCTATTCTAGGCTGGCGGGCCCAGCAACATTAAGCCCCAACATCCAAGATAAAGCACCTTTAGCTCTATAACTACTGAGATGTAGATATAAAACTCTTCTGGGGGTATCTGTTGAGGACAAGGTAGCTGTGGGAAAAGCAAAGATAACCTCAATAATATTTATCCTTTTCTTGTTTGGAAGGGCATACGACTTGCATAATCTTTTAAATAAAAGACCAGTAACTATTATTCTGTGGAAGCATGCAACCATTTCAGTCCTATAGATGTTTAAACAATGCTGTTTTTGTAGATTACAGCCCATTTGCTTCATTTAAACATGCCGAATCTATAATAGGCAATGAGCGGTCTCTTCCTTCATCATCCGCAGTCTTATTGTAGTGACTGCGCCATATCTGAACGCAATTACGCAGGGAAACACGTGAAGAGGAGAAGCGGTGGGGAGCTTCGCTGCAGTGTTCCGATTTCGATAGGGACGTGTGGTTGCCATTGATCCGTCAGTGCAAGTATTGGTTACCAGTCGTTTTTCACAGCGTATTCTTGGTGCAATGTGGTTTTGGAGCTCGTAGTTGCGCCAGGGAACCGTTTCCTACACACGTGGCACCTGCAAAGCTTCTCGAAGTGGGACTTTGACCTGTCGGTGTTCAAAAACAGATCATGGATTTTGTGAGAACCATAGATTCTGATGATGAACTTGATAATGTTTCAGTTTCTAGCTCAGGAGATGACAAGGTATGTAAAACGGGTGGTGGACATGTTTGAAACTTGTTGCAGTCATTCAAATGTTTGGCACTTCTGATTAATTGAAGTTTGTGTTTTGAATGAGTGGATGGATGGAATTATTTGCAAATATCTATAAATCATTTGTTGTATAACAAGCAGGTTTATGATCTTGGTGTTGCAATGATATTTCCTGTCCATGCTTTGACTGCCATCATTTGTATTAGATATGCACATGCATAGCACTGTGATGTTTTGGATGAGACACCACCTGTTCAGGGTTTGATGTGGATAGAAATGGTGCATGTTTTATTGCATGGATATAATGCATTTTAGTTAGGAATGTGTATGTGACCATAATTTCAGGATGCCCAGCATGACCCATACTTTGCGGAAGACTTCGAGTTTGGAGAGACCTTTGAAGAGTATAATCTGGACCCATGGCAGGACATTCAAAAGTACCTTAAAAAGAAACGTCTCTCCAACACAGACCAGAAAATAGCCCAAGTTCTTGACAAGGGTAAGCATGAGGTAAGTATCAGTATCAATATGTTTGAAATAATCCTGTTTTGCTTGTGCTGGCAAAGGGGATAACATCCATGAAAATGTTCCTCTTACTTTACCTATATAAACACTGCTAGAGATAAGGAAATTATATCCATAATTGTTTAAAGGAGCAGGTCAATGGATGCACATGTCAAGGCAAGTTGAAAATATCATAGACTGCATTTTGCACAATGTCACAGTCCTCCTGGTTTGTGTTCAGGAATCATTGAATCAAGATGAAGCTATGGAAGAAGGTGAAAGTGACTCAGCTGCCAACACAAATGCAGATGATGATGGAGAAGAATCTGCTTCAGAAGAGGATAATGTGGAAGAGCTTGGAGGTGCCACAAATTACTATTTTCCTTCCTTTTAGTCATTTCATCAGCATGCTGCCATGTGTGTTTCAGTTTTACAAGTTGACTTGTGGTTCAACTCTCCATGCTTTTTAATAGTGCATTGATAATTTACAAGTAAACAAGTGAAGTTTTTCATTTGCACTAGTGATATGTATAATTGGTTGTTAAACATCTTTTTGTGAGTTTTCCATCATCCCATAAATTCTTGTATTTGCAGCAATCACACATCACATAGTTGCCTCCTCTAGTTGCACCCCCTGCCCCTGCCAAACTCACCCCACCTGACCCCCCCCCCCCCCTCCCCCCCCCTCCCCCCCCCCACAGACAACATCCGCGTCAAGGAGGCCGAGCGGCGGCGCAAGGAGAAGAAGCTCGGCCGGCGACAGACGGAGCTGGCCGCCGAGGCCGCCGAGGCGGCCCGCTTCTTCAGCGAGGTCACCGGTGACACGCTCGGCGCCGTCAGCACCTTCCACGAGATGAACCTGTCGCGGCCGCTGCTCAAGGTGCGGCCAGAGTCGCTCAGGGCACGGTCGGGGCGGTCGGGGTGACCCCGGCCGCGCCTCTCTGGGAGACGGCCGGTGGCTGCGACGAACGGAGGGAGCGCCCGTGTCGCTCGCCGCGGTCCTGTTGTGCTGCGAAGTTCTGTGGTATTTGTCCTGTGGGTCGTGGCCTGCGGCGAAATACGGAAACGAAGAGAAGGAGAGACGGTCACGACGGTCGCGGTAGGACACTGTGGATCGCGGCCAGGAGACTGGAGCAACACGACATGCTGCGCTTGCGTGCGACGTGCGATGCGACTCGCTACAACGCCCTGTGTCGCACTAACAGACCTCGACACGTACACGGGCGCGTGCGGGCTTCCACCGGGGTTATTCCCCTGCGGGTCCCGCTGCCGCCTGGTGCTGACCTCACGCGGCACCCCCAGGCGGTGACGGCGCTGGAGTACGTGCACCCGACGCCCATCCAGGCGGCCACCATCCCAGTGGCGCTGCTGGGACGCGACATCTGCGGCTGTGCCGCCACCGGCACCGGCAAGACGGCCGCCTTCATGCTGCCCATACTGGAGCGGCTGGTGTTCAAGCCCAAACAGGTCAGGCTCTGAATGATGTTCGGGAAGTGGCCGGGTTGAGTTGTATGCCCCCCGTGCTGTATGGACTCCTGGTCAAATTCAAACTGATCACGACTCGTCAAACTCTGTCGAACAGACTTTTCAAGTTCTAGCTGGTCGCTGGCCACTGTGGAACGGACCTTACGCTGGCCGTCCTAGAGCAGGTCGTGTTCGAACCCAGACGTGTCGGACCTCGTGCCGCCCACACTGGGAGAGTTGGTGTTGCAGCTCAAACAGGCCAGGTCAGGCCAGATGCTTGAGGCATGATACTTGTGAGGTATGATACTTGCCATATACTTGTGAAAGTCATGGTTAAACACACCATGTTAGCCCAGGACTTTGGATGGTGCCTCACACTAGAATGACGCGTTTGCCAAACTGCACAGGTGGGTCGGCCCAGGCCCCATGTTGGAGTCAGTTGTCAAACCAAAACTGGTCATGCCATGTTAAACAGGAATCAGCACAGTCTTTGGTGTAAACTTGGGTGACTTGGTACCCAGCTGCAAGAGATCAGGCAGGCATAATTATGATCTACTTTTATTTCTTTGTTTAAATTGAAGTGTCTATTCACATGTTATACATTTTGTAGGGTCCAAGAGCATGTGAAGCTGGTGGTTTTTCAGTGCTGTCTTAAGTCGTACACTATATTCATGGTTGCTAAGGTATTTATTGGTTGCTGACCACACATTAGGCTCCCATGAGTCATACGCACATCTGTCGCGCCTTGAGTTGTTCTCACGCGGACTCACAGCTCCGGTCTAGAGAATGTGTGCTGCCGCGCCGCCTCTCACTGCAGAGCGTCAGCCTTGACTGCGGCTCACCCCTCACCCCTCGTTCGTGACACCCGGTCGTCTGCCACGCACCACGCATGCCAGAATGTCGCCCTGGAGCAAACAGCGCGGCGTTGCCGCGGCGTCTCCGCCGCTGGACAGCAGTGGGACCGGCCCGCCGTCGTATCCTCCCGGCCCGTCCTGACGCCGCCCCCCCCCCCCCGCCGGCAGATACCGGTGACGCGCGTGCTGGTGCTGGTGCCCACGCGCGAGCTGAGCGTCCAGGTGTACCAGGTCCTTCCCCACCCTGACGCCGCCCCCCCGCCGGCAGATCCCAGTGACCCGCGTGCTGGTGCTGGTGCCCACTCGCGAGCTGGGCGTCCAGGTGTACCAGGTGACGCGCCAGCTGTCCCAGTTCGTGCCGACCATGCAGGTGGCGCTGGCCGCCGGCGGTATGGACATCAAGGTCCAGGTCAGTGGCGGGGGCCGTGGTCAGTAACTGAGGCATGCAGCTACTTCAGGTGGAGGCCAGGGACCGGGAGCAGGGGTGGTTAGAGCGGTGGTCAATTATCAGGCCGAGGCCAGCTGCCGGTTACGTGGTGGCATGGATATCAAACTGAAGGTTGATTGCTCATAACAGGCTGGAGGTCGAGGTCTGTCGGTGCTTGGAGCTCTTGAACAAAACTAAAGGAGAGGTTACGGTGAGGTGTTTTGCGTTTTTTTTATACCGTGCATGTATATCCCTTGTGCAAATTTTTAACGGTGGATTTTTTCTTTGGTATCATTTATTTTCTGGACTTCACAGTTATCCCCGAGGCGCTGAAAATAACCAATGATTGCGCAGTTAATTTTTGCCCATAAATGACCAGACTACTGTTTTGGGATGCATGTAGTGTCTTCTCAGCGATGCCCTGTCACGCGTCCGCCACGGTCGGGAGCTTGCATGCCGTGCCTGGTCCGAGGCAGCCTGACATCCTCCTATGTCCTGTCTGACCTCGAGGCGGCCTGACGCCCCTCTGTACCCTGTCTGACATTGAGGCGGTCTGACGCCCCTCTGTGACCTATCTGACCTCGAGGCGGCCTGACGCCCCTCTGTACCCTGTCTGACCTCGAGTGGGCCTGACGCTCCTCTGTACCCTGCCTGACATTGAGGCAGCCTGATGCCCCTCTGTGCCCTGTCTGACCTCGAGGCGGCCTGACACCCGTCTGTGCCCTGTCTGACTTCGAGGCGGCCTGACGCCCGTCTGTGCCTTGTCTGACCTGGAGGCGGCCTGACGCTCCTCTGCACCCTGTCTGACATTTAGGCGGTCTGACGCCCCTCTGTGCCCTGTCTGACCTCGGGGCAGTCTGACGCCCATCTGTGACCTGTCTGACCTGGAGGCGGCCTGACACCCCTCTGTACCCTGTCTGACCTCGGGGCGGTCTGACGCCCCTCTGTACCCTGTCTGACCTCGGGGCGGTCTGACGCCCGTCTGTGACCTGTCTGACCTGGAGGCGGCCTGACACCCCTCTGCACCCTGTCTGACCTCGGGGCGGTCTGACGCCCCTCTGTGCCCTGTCTGACCTCGAGGCGACCTGACGCCCCTCTGTACCCTGTCTGACATTTAGGCAGCCTGACGCTCCTCTGTGCCCTGTCTGACCTCGAGGCGGCCTGACGCCCCTCTGTACCCTGTCTGACATTTAGGCAGCCTGACGCTCCTCTGTGCCCTGTCTGACCTGGAGGCGGCCTGACGCTCCTCTGTGCCCTGCCTGACCTCGAGTGGGCCTGACGCCCCTCTGTGCCCTGCCTGACCTCGAGTGGGCCTGACGCTCCTCTGTGCCCCGTCTGACCTCAAGGCGGCCTGACGCCCCTCTGTACCCCGCCTGACCTCAAGTGGGCCTGACGCTCCTCTGCACCCCGTCTGACCTCGAGGCGGCCTGACGCCCTTGCGCCCCGTCTCAGGAGGCGCAGCTGAGGCAGCACCCGGACATAGTGATCGCCACGCCCGGGCGGCTGATTGATCACCTGCAGAACACGCAGAGCTTCTGCCTCGACACGGTCGAGGTCCTGGTGCTGGACGAGGCCGACAGGTGCGTGGCGCTTTGGCTCTGCAGTTTGAATAGGATCGGATGCGTCACCTCAGGGCATGGTGCGATGCGGTACTACCGTGACTGGGTATGGTAATCGCTACGTGCGGGGGCCAGGTGCTGAGTTGAGCCGACTTGGCCCGTGTGGTGACTGGAGGCTTGAACACGGCACGTTCTGTGTGTTCTGAAGGGCTTACACGGTTCGGATGTGAGCTTCGCACCTGACATTTACCGCCAGCTGACAGCGACAAATGCGGTGCGATGGCGACTGTGGCGCGTAACAGCGTGCTCCGCGCACGCCGTGTGCTCTGACCTGTTGGAACAGAGTCAGAGAACAGTGATCTATTACTCTGTAACCCCGGACAACATGCTGGCTGGTAAGGGCACCACAGTGTCACATCCCCCACCCCCTTTATTGCTGTATGCGCCATTGTGACAGTCCACGTTCCAACACTGCTCCTCCCAGTCTCCGCCGGACGCAAGATAGTAACGAACCCTCACCATAACACTACCGCTGATGATACTCCTACCTACTAACAACACCATTGCTGGTCATGCTTCCGATCTTTGATATTACTACCACCCACCGATACCATCGCTAACAGTACCACCACCCACTAATAACGTTATCACCCACTGATGAAAGCACCGCGATTTCCGTGTCTGCTGCAGGATGCTGGACGAGTACTTCGCCGAGCAGATGGGAGAGATCATCAAGCAGTGCGCGGCCACGCGCCAGACCATGCTCTTCTCTGCCACCATGACTGACGACGTGAAGCAGCTGGCGGCCGTCTCGCTCAAGGACCCCGTCAAGGTGTTCGTCAACGAGAACACGGACGTGGCGGCCAACCTAAAGCAGGAGTTTGTCCGGTGAGTGGCGCGTGCTCCCTCTGTTGTCGTGTTCTGCACCTTGGTGAGGAGCTTCTGCTGCTTGCGGTATGGCTGCGAGCAGTGGTGGTGTTTAGTAGCTTGTTTTTATTCTTGTTGGGCCCGAAAGCAACGCTGTGTGATGGGGCGATTCCATTTATGCTGTGACAATAAGAAGCCGAGCACTCGTAGGCTGCAGGTGACGCGCTCATGCTTATGTTAGTACGAATGCTATTGACACAAAATTGAGTGGCTGCAGTCGCGATTATGAAACATTGGCAGGAGATGCATGTGACCGATACCGATAATGATATGCAGGACACCAATATTAATATCGGCTCTCGGCTGCCCCCCCTCCCCCCCGGCGCCTGACCCAGCCGGCTGCCGGCAGGATACGCCCCGGCCGCCAGGGGGACCGCGAAGCCCTGCTGGCCGGCCTGCTGTTGCGCACCTTCCACGACCGAGTCATGGTGTTCGTGCAGACCAAGCGGCAGACGCACCGACTTCACATCGTGCTCGGTCTGCTCGGCGTTCGGGTGAGCGCACCGGACCGGTCAGGGTCAGGGACCGGGTCAGGACCGGGGTCGGGGTCAGCAAGAGTCGGGGTGAGCGCCCGGATCAGGACTGGACGGGGCGGGGGGGGGGGGGGGGTAGATGGGCTGACCGTGTGAAAGGTCGGACCAGCGCGGCGGTCAGTTTCATTTAACCAGCCGAGATCAGTTGTTGTGAACTAAATCAGCAAACCAATCAAAATCTGCCAGCACAGCGAGGTTACGATGATCGAGTGGTGTTTACTTATTCAACTGAAAGCGAGTTAAGTGAGCTAGCTTCAGGTTGGACCACCCTCAATCTGCCTCCGGTGAATCCGTTCATGAAGCTGGCTCAGGGCCGCCGCGCGCTGCGGGCTCATATTTCCATGGCGAGACAGCGCGACAGGCATCCGATGCTGTAGCAGCTCTATCTGCATGGATTTCGCCGGCAGCAAATGTCTACTTCGTGCCTTTACGGTGCTGCTGCGCCCTGTAGACGCACGCTGACGCTCCACGCCGCCAGCGCCCTCACGCAAAAGTTACACCGGTGCCCCGCGTGCCAGGTGGGGGAGCTGCACGGGGACCTGAGCCAGGCGCAGCGGCTCGAGTCGCTGCGCCGCTTCCGGGAGCAGGAGATCGACGTGCTGCTGGCGACGGACGTGGCCGCGCGCGGGCTCGACATCCCCGACGTGAAGACGGTGAGACGCGCCATGGTGCCGCGGCGCCAGCGGTCACCGTTAGCTCCGATATGTGCCGGCCGGCGCGTCTCGTGTTACGGACATCTGGCTGGTCAGTGCGTTTGGCGGCCTGTCATTCTATTTTTGTTGCCGGACTCCTGGTCTCGAGATTGATTTGAACACATGGAGCGTCTTTGTCACTCAGGTGACAGCTTGTTCGGCATCTGATCACGGTCAGCTTTGTGGGTGAGCATGCCAGAAATGGCGTCGGATTTTGTGGCTCATCCTCGACGTTTTGCTGGCGGCCGGTGATAAAGGGGCCAAGCTGGTGCGCGCGGCTGTGGTGCAGCTTTGCGTGCATGCTACCCCCCCCCCCCCCGGCGAAAATGGTTCGTTCAACTGAAATAGCTCTCATATGGTGTGGTCGGGATCTTTGCAGCTAGCTTCGCTCATCAAGGAATGCAACCCACGGGCCCTGCAATGTAAGCCAGTTCTGCGAAACATTCCATCAAACCTAAAAAGGCCTACTTATACCAGGCGACGAGTCTAAACTCATCACGATCCGATCCTTGCGCACGCTGCCTTGACGCACGTTGTGAGCGAGCCGGAGTCACCAACTCCACCTCATGCACGCGAGCCGTCGCCCGCCGCAGCCTCCTCACGCCGGGTGACGCGCCGCGCCGCCGCCCCCAGGTGATCAACTTCACGATGCCGGCCACGTCGCAGCAGTACGTGCACCGAGTGGGCCGGACGGCGCGCGCCGGCCGCGCCGGCCGCTCCGTCTCCATGGCGGGCGAGACGGAGCGCGCCATGATCCGCGAGATCAGCCGGCGCAGCCTGAGGCCTGTCGAAATACGCACCGTGCCGCAGGGTGAGACGAGGGGCGGCGCTGGCGGCGCTGGGGAGGGAGCGAGCGCGGCGCCGGTGTGGCGATGCTCGGCCAGTTGAGTGGCGGCGGGGTGTCGGTTTTCTTTTTCATACGATAGTGTCCCCGGTCCGGGGTTGGCTAGTTTGCGCATCCACTCGCTCGTCATCGATCAATCAGCGACGGGCTGGACTGCGCTCAACTCAGCCTCTAGTCGCCTCGGGCTTGGGGAGTGAAATGGGCAGGCCAGATGATGATGATTTTTCGGGTTTTTGTGGTCGAAGGGCACCGGCTTGGCAGCCGCTCATCTGTGCGTGTGGAGGCCGCCGGGAAGTCAGTAGACCGGTGGAATGGATTTATATTTGCCGCCTGCACACCCAACCGGATGAATTTTGGAACGCTGAGGGTGCCGGTCCGATGTCGGCTGCCTCGGTCCCTTGGGGTGCTGCGGAGCCGGTGCGATCCCTGCAGTTTCGGCTCTGGGGGGAAGAACGTCCCTTCCACATTACACTGTCTTGCCTCTGTATTTTATGCGGCCTTTTTCCATTCGCCATTGCCGATACATGTATTTTTTAATCGGTGATGAGCGTATTTCTGGTTTTATGTTCTTTTTTGACTGTACCTTGTGCCTGAGGTTTCATATTCAGGCTGCATTTTGTCTTGTGCCCCTGTTCCCCTGAAATGTTTCACACATAAAATTGCGGGACTCCGAGCTGGCGAAAATCCTCTAGCGTGGTCCGACGCCCGCTCTTGCTGTACTGAAATGACCATGACGGCCTCTCATGAAGTGGTTCATGTGATGGAGTGCCGTCAGGCAGAGTTGAAAAATGTGTATTAAGTCCAGAGTAACGGCTTTAAAGCGGACGATGCCGCTGTTCGGTATGGGCTCGCTCCGTGGAGGATCGCCACTAGGCGCGTGGCCCACGCTCATGACGTGGGCACATTCCGCTGAAATGGGACACTTAAGCTGGTCTCAGAGTCGCCCGTGACGTCATAGCGCATTTGGATGTATTATCTGAGACAGTTCTCCGAACTCGCCTCCACTGGACCCAGAACGATCACTGTTGCGTCATTAAGAGTCGCGAGGGACGCCCGAGAACGCGGCACGCGACTCGGAATTCATTCGTGGAAGCCGCCTCAGAGATGCATGCGACTGATTAACACGAGGGGGGTCGCGTCGGGGGATTGGTCCTGCTTCGTTGGGTAGCTTCTCTCCGTTGCTGGCTACGCCTCAATCAAATGCACGTTCACGGGCAAACGGTCTGCACCTACAGACTTCACAATAGCCGCATAGTCATGTCGGCGCCGGCAAGATGGGCGTGTCTGCGCATAGTTCCGCCTTCAGCCGGGCGGGTGAGTGCAGACGCGACAACCGACAGCCTCACAGCTGTCGTCGCCGGCTGCTGCCCGAACCGGTCGGCTGGCCGCTTTGGTGAAGGCTGTGGCTGACCGGTGGTCAGCTTCGCGTGCTGAACGACCGCAAGAGTCCTCCGCTTACACCACTTCGCGGGTTCAGAAAAGCTGCGGCCACCTCGATTCATAACGTGTGACCACCAAGCCACGATGCCATATGTGGTCCAAATGTTAGTTGTTCCACAAGCCCGCAGTGCGAACTCAAATTCCGGTGGAGGCCTGCTGTCACGTCCGCGTTATAACATGTGTCCGCCCCACTCCACCCATCGCCCCACCGGCCATCAAAGCTCACGGTGGACGGGTGAGCGATGACCTGGCCTCCTGAGCTCCCCGCGAGTCGCGTCGGCAGCGGCCGCCGTTCTGGTGAGACGGCGGCGCCGGCTCGCTCGCTGGTGTGCTCCGAGTGAGTTGTCGGGAGCGATCGCCGCCCTAGTGAGACGGCGGCGCCGGCTCGCTCGCTGGTGTGCCCCGAGTGAGCTGTCGGGAGCAGCCGCCGCTCTGGTGAGACGGCGGCGTCGGCTCACTGGCTGGTGTGCTCCGAGTGAGCTGTCGGGAGCGGCCACCGTTCTGGTGAGACGGCGACACCGGCCCACTCGCTGGTGTGCTCCGAGTAAGCTATCGGGAGCAGCCGCCGCTCTAGTGAGACGGCGGCGCCGGCTCGCTCGCTGGTGTGCTCCGAGTGAGTTGTCGGTAGCGACCGCCGCTCTAGTGAGACGGCGGCGCCGGCTCGCTCGCTGGCGCCGGCTCGCTCGCTGGTGTGCTCCGAGTGAGTTGTGCGGCCAGACGCCTTGCCGCCGCCGGGCTACGCGGTAACGGGGCACGGCTCCTCGCGGGAAGGAGATACGGCGCGATGTTTGCGGCTGATTGCGGCAGGGTGTATTGCTGGCCGTTGCAGGCTGTTGGGGCTCGTTCGAGCTGAGCTTGCAGCCGTGGCGGTGCTTTTACCGTCAGCTGGTGCTTTTACAGTCAGCTCTTGCACGCTTGGATGCCACCGAAACGAGACCACCGCCTTTGGTCAACAAACGTGAATGACGAACACAGCAGTCATTGGGCTGAAAGTGTCGGGTGTTGGGCCTTTTACTGCCCCCCTCTTGTGTGGCTCCCTTCACGTGAGCACGTATTTCACGTCACAGTTGCGGCTAACTCTCGGCCGCCCATGATGTGCCGCCATTTCCACTAGCTTCGTGTTGCATACTACAGTATGGACGCCACGCAGCCACTGTTAACAGTTGACTCTGTATCCGCGAGTGAGGACGGAACCACTCCCTGTCACCTATCCGGCGACCGTTAAAAAAGCACCACTCCGAGCTTGCCCACGGTGACCAGGCGGCCACGGTCACGATCAGCTCACGGCTTTGCGCTCGATTGTGCTGCCGCCGGTACACCAGCCGCACCGTCCCGGTGCTTCACCGCTGATCTCTGTGCGGTAGTGGCAGGCTCTCGCGTCGACCGACGACCGGTCGGGTCTGCGACGGCGTGCGGGTCGAGCGCGGGCTACCCGCCGGCCGCCGGCGGGCCCTGCCACGACGTCAGCACTGTCGACGTCGGTGCTGCGCCTCGGGCATCGGGGGTGCGCTGCCGTGGCCGGGGTGTCGTGAGGTGGGACGGTTTGGTGCCCGCTCGCTGGGAGAGGAAAGCTGTAGAGAGCCGGATCAGCAGCGCTGCACGCGCTACAGATGTCCACGGAGCCGGAGTGAGTCTGGACGGGTCCAAAAAGGGAAAGTCATACTCTGGCGTTTGATTCATCGATCATGTCACCATCAACACCGGTCGCGAACATACCACTTTTGAGATGAGGCTGGAGGGGATAGTTTTTCAAGTGTGGTTTGCAACTCTGAACTACAATTAATACTTCCGCACAGATGCTGTATTGTCTTCGGCCTGTTTTCGCACCATGGTTCTGTATGTTTAAAGTACAATGAGCACTTTGTGACGTCACGCACAACTGGGCGCACACCGTTTGCCGTACGCGGGAAGAGCTTTTAATGTACTCGTTTTTGAACCACATCCTCAAATCGTGAGAACGTGATGACTGGAAGACCGCGTCTTATAACGTTTCTTGCGGTCATGTTTCAAACATAGCTTCGCATCATTTCTAGTTTCATCTCATCCGGCCTCACGCCAGATGCAACCATTCCACTTATAAACAAGCCTTCTGGGTCCGGCGGTATGTGACATCACGCCACCATAAACACAGTATCGATTGATCGCTGCCTGCCGCCGGCCGCCGATCGCGCCGCCGGCGTACTGCCCGGGCGCCGAGTGACCCCCGTCTGACCTGGAAAATGACCCTGTCTGACCTGGCAAGTGACCCCGTCTGACCCATCGAGTGACCCCGTCTGACCTGTCTAGTGACCCCCGTCTGACCTGTCGAGTGACCCTGTCTGACCTGGCAAGTGACCCCCGTCTGACCTGTCTAGTGACTCCGTCTGACCCGTCGAGTGACCCCGTCTGACCTGGCGAGTGACCCCTGTCGGGTCCGCCAGACACGCCGGCTCTGGCGCGACACCCGCCTCCCAGGGACCGCGTGACGGCGATCGGCCCATTGGCGAGACGTGCCGGGGTCCGGAGCGGAGTGCGGCGGAATTTACGGAAACTGGGGGCGCATAAAAACTCAGGGCTGAGGCCAGACGTAACACTAAAAATATTGCCATTAGGTAGTATTTTCCTACTCAAACCGACATAAAACCAGACGTTAACTGGTTTGTCTCCCGCAGTGGGCTGAGGCTGAATCTCATAAAGGGAGCAAGCATTGTTTGGAACATCCCAGGAGAAACAAAGCTCCACACAGGGACGCGGCACTGGTCTGCAGCTGGTGGCGTCATGCTGACAATGCTGCTGCGAGCCATGCCGCACCGCCTTCTCTTTTTTGAGCTCCGCGGCTCTGCCGAACGTAGTTAAGCTTTCACGGCTTTGATGTGCGGAGAGGAGCGTCAGGATTCTGTTGGACGTAGTGAAGCTTCCACGGCTTTGATGGGCGGAGAAGAGCGTCAGGGTTCTGTTGGACGTAGTTAAGCTTCCACGGCTTTGATGGGCGGAGAAGAGCGTCAGGGTTCTGTTGGACGTAGTTAAGCTTCCACGGCTTTGATGGGCGGAGAAGAGCGTCAGGGTTATGTTGGATGTAGTTGAGTTTCCAGGGCTGTGTATGTCGTAACTGAGCTTCCCGAGCTGATCGGAGCTTCTGGAGCTGAGCCTCCGGAGCTAAGCTTACCGAGCCGAGATTTTCGAGCTGATCTGAGGTTTTCGAGCTGAGCCGAGTTTCCTGAGCTGATCTGAGCTTCCCGAACTGAGCTTTCCAAGCTGATATGAGCTTCCCGAGCCGATCTGAGCTTCACGAGCTGATCTGAGCTTTCCGAACTGAGATGAGCTGAGCCTATCTGAGTCCGTGATCCTGAGCCTGTGAGACCAGTATGCTCGTCTATGTGACCAGTAGTCCCGTCCGTTGGACCAGTAGACACGTCTGTGGGGCCAGTAGACCCGTCTGTGGGGCCAGTAGGCCTGTCTGTTGGACCAGTAGACCCGTCTGTGGGCCTGTAAACCCGTCTGTGGGGCCAGTAGACCCGTCCGTCGGGTCAGCAGAGCACCTGAACAGA